CCGAAGCATTTTACTGTAACAAAAATGAAAGGACAAGTTAAAGTTTTAGATTAGAATGTTTGAAGAACATGTACAAGACACCAAAAATTTGGGTCAGTTTACTGACAGCTAGTTTTACCAATTGTCATTTTCACTGCAATATTTTGTCTTTGCAATCTGAAATCAACCCTTGGAAGATACCAGAAACTTCTTTTAGCAAAAGTACCTAGTGTTCTGCTTTGTCAAAGGTTGCTTTTCTTAATGCTTTTCATAGGTACAATTTTAATCTATATTTGGCTAAAAGGAGTGGAAAAGCACAGCAAATCAAAGCAAAAACAGAAGGCAAAGTGGTGGCAAGCATATGGGACTGTTTATGGGAATGGTCTAAATTAGGGAAGATATCAGGCAAGATAGAAAGGTTGGAAGCTCAGATCAGGAAAGATGAGGAAAGGAAGTTTTTCAGTCCTACTTCCATGCTCATGCACAAGCATGCCGAGGGGATCTGCTGCCTCTGATTAAATGGTTAAAAAACAAGAAATACCTCAAAACACAAGCTTAAAATCTGTTATCCTTGACCGACAGTCCGTAAGATAGAACATTCCATTCTTCCATTTGCAGACTTTTGAGAAACATGCCAAGGACAGCTCACGTAACACTGGAAGACAGACGCTAAAGCCTTCTCTTGCCAAGAAGCTCTTTGAACCATCCCAGGAAAGAAATACCAGTATCGAGCTAAACTAAGCACACAGAAACCTCACTGCGTTTACTTTGCTTCAACATATTACAAAGGGCTAGCTGGGCTGCAGTAACCTGTTAAGCCTGTTATAAATCCATCATAAAAGTAAACTACTTTAGCCTGAGATAACATATTTCACATTGCATTAGCCATAAATGGAGCACACCCATGTTTAAAAACGCAGCTCAGCTGATATGCAAAGATCTGGGCTTGCATTTGTACTTTCACTTATTTAAACATTTTCTACGTTGCTTCTGCAGAATTTTATGACTGTTTCTTACAAATCTACGCTCCTACCTGACAACTTCCATGCAAAATTAGGCTTTCTTTTATCTATGGTTAAATTAAAGGATCCCTGCCAGGCTACCAAACTGAGTGATTCCCCCAGATGCACTTGTATGGCAGTCTTATGTCTGCCAAGGCGGCACAATTAACCCATGATCTTATTTTGTTGCCCCCTATGAGAAGTAGCTAAAATATGTATACAGTTATTAGTATAGTGTTAGCCTTAAAAGGCAAAAACATTCTACTATATATACTTAAAAGTCAAATTTCCTTTTTTTCCTTTTCTTTTGTTTTTCCCCTCCAGTTTCAGTTTTGCCAAATTCTATGTCATAAGAGGCAACAAAATATCATCGGGCAATCTGAGCTCCCCAAGGGTGACCTGATCCATTTTTTTTAACATTTTTGAGGGCGAGCGCAGACCTGTGCCTCTGTAAAGCCACAAGAGAGATCGAGGGACCGAAACCGCCCCGCTACGACAGCTCGGGGCGGCACCGGGAGCCGCGCAGCCCCCGCCGCTCCTCCCGCACAGCCGCCGCGGCCCCGCCCGCCCTCGCTGCCCCCTCCT